AAGCAAGAGCAGCAGGAGTAGTAGTAGTAGCAGCAGCAGGAGCAGCAGGAGTAGTAGTAGTAGCAGCAGCAGGAGTAGTAGCAGCAGCAGTAGTAGTAGTAGCAGCAGCTGCAGGAAGTCATTGAGTCACCATAGCCATGGGCATCACTCAAGGTATCTGAATGGCAGCAGTAGCAGCAGTAGCAGCAGCAGCAGCAGGAAGTCGTTGAGTCACCATAGCCATCAGCATCATTTGGGACATCTGGAAGGTGGCAGCAGCAGCAGCAGCACATATTCCAAAACATGGGTAACTTTGTCAGTAAATTGACTGATGCTGCTAATGTTCATGAATCACATTCCTGATGGCAGCTGGCTTTGCATCATAAATCAAGAAATTATGAGTTGACACAGTAAATTTTAGCAACATAAAATGGCAAAATTTATTCTGCAAACACACCTGCAATCATTGGCTCTGATGTCTAATTCAGAACATCTCAACAGTTTCTGCAAGTTTGTGGAAACTTTTGTTATAGGCAGGGAACCATTTTTTTGCCAGTTTACTACTTTCTGTCAACATATATTGCATGTTTCTGTCTTAAATTTGCGGTAGGAACATTAATGCTTAATATAAACTACTTCAAGTTTTGCATTATGTGCTTGTGATTAAGCATACAGAACTATGTATTAATGATAATTAGTAAAATCTTTACTTAATTCCCAGTGCTCAGGTTTCAATCTAATTGCAGTATTTCTTTTCTTCTGAGACTTTTAATCTTCTTGTTTTTATCATTTTTAAAGGGAGATCATGAGATTTATCAGTATCGCTTTAGATCAGCGCATAGACAAGAGGTGAGTTTTTCTTTCCTCAGTAAATTACGTATGGAATCTGTCATGAGTCAAATGGAAACCTTAAAGGTATCATATTGTCTTTGTTGAGGAAAATTACAGTAATGATAACATTTAGAACACCAGATCAACAGTGGTGGTTCTTCTGAGATGCATAAAGACAGAGAACTATGTTTTTCTCTGTGTTGAGCACATGATGCCATTTGGGCTCTACAAAGTAGATGCGGAGTTCTACCAAAGCAGTGCAAGGGAGTGGGGATGCACGCTTCAGAGGAACAAAGATCCTACCATCAAGAGCTTGGGCCACCTGACTGGCTTTGATCACTTGGTTTCTTGGGTTGGAATCACTGCTGATATACACCGGGATAGTGATGATGACAAACGTGGGAGGATACCTTATTTTATGGTACTTTAGTTCAGTAGAAGATTCTAACTAGGGCATGAGCCAGCCAGGAGCAGTGTACTTGATATTTGTGTTCCTCAAACAGTAAAAACTTCAGCTCTGTGTGTCCATTCAGTTGATCCTTTCCATTCAGTTGGTCCATTAAGTGTGTCCTCCAGTTGATCAGGCCCTTCCAGAAGTAAAATGAGTCAGTTCTGGTCTTTCGTGTTGAATTGAGAGGCTGGTTCAATTAGACTTGCTCTGGTCAATTGTTTTTTCACACAGGGAATTCTCATCTAGACATGTTCCTTATTTGTCTCTTCTGAGGGGTTCAGATGTATTTGGGTAAACAAGATTTTTTAAAGCTAGATCACATGTACTAAGCAGGACAAAGCATACTGCAAGTCACTGAGCTGCTCAGGGCTGGAACGCAAGTTTACCAACACCAAGTGGCATGACAGAGAGTGTTCTGCAGCACTGCCTGGTGCAATTCCTTCAAGCATGCTTTTAAACTACTCTCTTGAGCATGATGTGTTTTCTTCTTGCAGTTCCCAGAAAGGAAAATCCCAGCTGACCACCTTAGCAGCACGTACTCCTCTACCAGATCCAGTCATGCCTCATCTCGAGCTGCTTCCCGGGTTAGTTGCATCGTTTTTAGGGGTTTTTGACAGCTTGGAAGAATGGCAGAGTGGCCGTGCACTTGCACGGCAATTACTAATTGTACTGCTAGGATAACAGAAAGAGAGAAATACCAATCTCTCAAGTGTCGAGTATCAATGAAGAATGAGACACGCACCACAGTTCCCACACACACTTTCCTCTGCAGTGAGGTGAGGAACCTTCTTACTTGCACCATGATCCTTCTTTCATGGGAATCCCACCCAACAGATGCCGGCAGAGATTGATCTTGTGGCCTCTGCAACCCTCTTCAGGAGGGAAGTTGAGGTGCTGCAGCTCCAGTGCAAGGATGTTGGTGGTGGAGGCCGAGGCTAACAGGAGCCTCAGCAGAAGGCATGGTTCAGAGGTGACATGTAGCACCTTGGCTCCTCATTGCCACCCAGTCTGATGCGTGCAGGCTTGCTCTCTGGGGCAAGTGATGAAGTGAAGTCTAGCAATGGAGTGAAGGAATTGCAGGTCATAGCACGCTTAAGGCCCTGCTGTCAAGAGGAGTGGCTCTTGATGTTGAAGAAAACATCCTGGATTATATTTTGTGCTAGGGTGCTGTGCAAACACAAAACCTGCCTGCCCCACAGAACTCGCAGCTGAAGTGGGAGGTGAAAGCCCACAGACCAACCAGAGAGATAAACAGGAGGATGCTAGCTGGGGTGATGTTCTTGTTGTGAGAATGAGTGACAACTACAACGGACAGCTGATGATAGTCAAATTGAACACCTCCTTTCATTCGCAGGCTAATATATGGATATTAACAATGAAGCCTGAATCATAGAGTCATTACTGTATCCTAATGATATTAATATTTCCATGGTATCAGCTGTAGCTCAGGAAACAGCACAAATTTTGGCTCATAAAATATGGTCATAAAATCCCTCTGTGCATGCAGAGGCACATGCACATTAAAGACATATGCATGAGAGTTTATAGGCATGTAAATGTGTGTGGTACATATGCTGGTACATATTTGTAGTTCATTATTTTTCATGTATCCATCTAGATCTTGTATCTAAATTGTTCTATGGTTAACTCTTTTATAATTATATTCTTTGCATACTTTCTCCCCTTTCTTCCTAGACTAAGTTTTTGGGAGATGTTAAAACACCAGTATTAGCTGTTTTTCTTCATGGCATTCGTAACGAGAAGAAGATAGGAGGTCTCCAGCTTGTGGTATATGCTGATATTGACTCCATCAGGCCCCGGGTGCAGGTGTTTGTGTCAAACCTCACAGATTCAAGCAAGTGGAAGCTCTGTGCTGATGCTTCAGTCCTCAATGCTCACAAGGCAGTGGTAAGGCTAAAAAACCAGTTATAAACAGCTGTATGCATCACAGGAAAACCGTGTTCCGTGCATTTAGAAATGGAACATTTCTCTCTCCATTATAGGCTTACCTGAAATGGGGCCGGAATTGCCAGGACTACAAGATTTCAACAGAGCTGGTAACTGGGCGATTTGCTGCCCACCCTGCTGTACAAGTGAAACTGGAGTGGCCTAAAGTTCCTTCAAGTATCAGATCCATAGCAGAATGGTGAGGTTTTTAGTCTTTAGTGACACTTGTTCATGATATCGGTCGGCTGGGAAACATCAGCATCCACCCATGAGGTTCTAGTGGTTAAAGGACCAGTTATTATTTTATTCTCTGATGTGTTTGAGTGCTGCCTTCGGTACTAGTACTCATACCGAAGTACTAGTACTTGTAGGTCAAATGGGACATCATAGCCATCCTATTGTAATGTGCAGTAATTCTTTATACTGGACATAATTACTGAAAACTGAGGAACAGATCCTTCCTTTCACTGAACACTTGATCAGTAAAGCAGAGAGTGGTCATGGGGACCTAACCAGTGATCCTGAAGACGCTGTATAATACTTACACACAGATAGGAGACAACCTGGTTGGGATGTGTGCTGCTTTTTGCTTCTCTATTTCACCAGATCTTTCTGATTTGAATTTTTGAAGGTTTTACAAGTTTGTCCCTGGGGCTGCGTTTATGCTGGGGTTCTCTGAAAAAACAGACAAGAATCCTTCTCGACAAGCCAAGGTGGTCGTGGCTCTAACTTCTCCAAGGACATGTGATGTTGTTATCAAGCTTCCTGATGTAATTATGAAATATTATTAACACTCTCCTATTTTTTCCTAGTAGAAAAGTGAGACTGTTGCATTTTAATTACAGTGGGTAAATTATGAGACAGAAAAATTGAGAAAGCATCAGTCTGGGTAAAAATGATGAGAACAACTTTTATTTTCAGCCTTTTTACATTACGTCCAAGAATATTCATAGATTGATTTTGTTCATGGAAAAAGAGAGTGCCATGGGTACTCATAATGACATGCGTTTCCATCTGCAGTAGCTCCATAAGTGTTCACCTTAACCACCTTTGGAGGGGAGTAATTAATTCTCTCTCAAATAATATCTGAATGATGACCCACACCATGAGACGAAACCATAAGCAGAAGCAAAAACCTCATGGACAATGAGTCAGATGAACTGTGTTCACATAAAGTCTTTGTCAACCACAGTAGAAGTTGAAATCAGATTCCAAATAGGAGAAAAAGCTGATCTCAGCTGTTTTCTGTGAATACCTGGCACAAGTGTATTTTGAATGTGCTTTTGAATTCCTTTTCAGATGATCCTCTATGAAAAAGCCATGAGGCTTCCCCTGTCACTCCCTGTAGGTCCGAGGATACCAGCTTCAGAGCTGCAGCCTCCCATCTGGAATGTCTTTGCTGAAGCCCCCTCTGCAGTGCTCGAGAATTTGAAAGGTCAGGGTCTAATTGGGTTCACAAGCATGACATCCTCCCAAATTACCTAAGCACCTTCTGAATTTTTCTGGGATTATTTGTCTTCAGTTAATTAGGAAATATCCTGTAATAATGTGAGGATGGTTCAGCTGGGAGAGAATATTGTGCATATAGTACAGAAATCATCACCATTTCAGGGATCAAGATACCAATTATCTGAACGGATAACATTTAAACTTTCTGGCACTTATTTTTTGTTAGATAGAGGAGTGTATTTTCCATGCCTTTTTTAGAATTTATGGGTGCTTAGTAGACAAAAGCCCCTGTAATCCATACAAAAATATCACAGAGTGGAAAAAATATAAAGCTAAAATAATAGCACTAAGAATAAAATATGCCATTTAATGACTTTCTTTTATTGAAAAGCAAATACTCACTGATATTTTATTTAACCAGCTCGCTGCTCAGTTTCCCACAACAAGGTCACAACCTTTAATGAAGTTCAGTTTAACTACACAATGCCAGCAAATTGCTACCACATCTTGGCTCAGGATTGCAGCTCTGACCTTAAGTTCCTGGTGATGATGAGGAATGCTGAAGAAGCTATGAACCTGAAAGCAATCAATATCAAGCTTGGCAGTCAGTAAGTAACTCCTGCCAGATGCTGGGAGGGTGAGGGACTACATCGTCCACATTTAACATGAGAGGAGCTTAGATCTTGAGCTCGCACGAGGCATGGACCTCATGAGGCTCAACCCCCTCATGCGGGTCCTGTACCTGGGTCAAGGAAACCCCCAGTATCAGTACAAGCTGGGGAGAAGGGATCAAGAGCAGCCCTGCCAAGAAGGACTTGTGGGTCCGGCTGGATGAAAAGCTGGACATGAGCCAGCATCCTGGGCTGCATCCAAAGCAGCGTGGCCAGCAGGTCAAGGGAGGTGATTCTGCCCCTCTACTCCACTTTGGTGAGACCCCACCTGGAGTCCTGCGTCCAGCTCTGGAGCCCTTGGCACAGGAAAGACATGGACCTGTTGGAGAGGGTCAGAGGAGGCCACAACAATGATTAGAGGGATGGAACAGCTCTCCTATGCAGAAAGGCTGAAAGAGTTGGGGTTGTTCAGCCTGGAGAAGAGAAGGCTCCAGGGAGACCTTATTGCAGCCTTCCAGTACTTAAAGGGGGCTTATCAGAAAGATGGGGACAGATGTTTTAGCAGCGCTTGTTGCAATAGGACAAGGGATAAGAGTTTTAAACTAGAAGAGGGCAGATTTAGACTAGATATGAGGAAGAAATTTTTCACAACGAGGGTGGTGAAACACTGGCACAGGTTGCCCGGAGAGGTGGTAGATGCCCCATCCCTGGAAACATTCAAGGCCAGGCTGGACGGGGCTCTGAGCAACCTGGTCTAGTTGAAGATGTCCCTGTCGGTTGCAGGGGGGTTGGACTAGATGACCTTAACAGGTCCTTTTCAACCCGAAGATTCCATGATCTGAGCTTTACTGCAATGGTTAGCAGCCCGTGGTATTTCAGCATTTCCCTTATTTACTTTCCACACATATTGAATGTGATGCTGATGATGTTACCCTGCATCTTAGGTGACAAGAGTACCCCTGATATAACGTAAATAGTTGAAATGAGCTTATGCTGTGACCAGTGATACTTAGTGAGCAGGAAAATGCCTTTGTTGCTGCATGCGTGTGACTGCGATACAAACAGGGTATGAACGCTCTTCTCCTTAACAGTGAAATCGATATGTACCCTGCGAACGGGCAGGTGAAACTGCTGGTAGATGGGGTTGAAAGCCGCACAACGAATGTTTCATACATATCTGCTGGTAAGTGATGCAGCATCTGTTGTTTCATTGTCACGTATGTGAAAGACAGACAGACACACAAAAAAATCCATCAGAGAGATTCCATCAGTTTGTATTCAATAAGTATTTCTACCTTTGGTTGTAAGGTTAATATTTAAGAACGTGTATTTTACTCCCTTGCATAGTAACATGTAGAAAGACTCATTAGAGTGTGACGCTCTTGAAGTGGCCAAACTAAGCAGGATATAACTAACATGAAGATCCCTCCTTTTCATACATTACTGCAGCTCTTGCTGGAGTTCCAAATTCGACAAGTGTTTTGGTTATACTATACAATCTCGCTTGATTAAAACTTTTTGAAGTAGATCTTTTCTAAAATTCACCACACTTGCATATCAGTGTTGTTCCTCGTTTGATTTGTAGGTATAAATTTGGCTAGCATTCTGAAATCTGCTAGGAATAAATATGGAGAACTGGTAAAATAGCCTGCTTGCTTATCTCAAAGCAGGAATATTTTTTTTCCTGTGAAAGCTGCAGGAGAACCTTGTTCATTCTGTGCTATGCAGTCAGGGGCTATGTACAATGCAGACATTTCCTGACTGTAGAGCTGTAGCATATGAATCAGGTTAAATCTTGCCGAAATTGGGTTAGCATCTGCCAGTGCTGAGATCTGTCCTATTTGTTACGTACTTGGGAAGTGATAATTGTGCTAGAAATGGCTCCAGTAACAGTCACGGTGTTCTTTGTGTTTCCTTACTCCAATATAGTGTACTCAGGGCCTTCTATATCTATCTGCACAACTATACAGATATTATAGGCAGCTCTGTAGTTGTTTCTAGAAATAAATATGAATATGTTAATAACCCAAAGAAAAATTAATAAATCCGTGATCATTAGAGTTGCTTTCCAACTTTTTACAAACACTTATTTTCTATACATACACATTTCTACATTGTTTTGCTCTGTTTTGTTTCTTGAGTAGAACAACTGAGGAATTTCAAGGAAAAGAACATTTTAGAAACATGACAGTTGCTTTTTTTCTTTCTTAAAGAAGCTAGGTTGGGTCTGTTTTGGTGGTGCTTTGTTTTATTTTGTTTTCTTCTAGGTGCTTCTCTGTGGATCCACAGTGAAAAACAAGGGCTTGTACTTGTTGCCCCAGCCTATGGCATTGATAAATTGTACTTTGATGGATACACATTCAGGGTATCGTTCCCCCTCTTCATAAGCTTGGGTGTTGAGAAATTTCCATAGGATCCCTTAAATCTGTATGCATGAGTGCAAGAATACACAGTGGCAAACCCAAATCTGTGCAGGGCCCAAAAAACCCCAAAGGGAAGATGACGCTACAGGATTGCACAGTCCTGCTCTTCGTTTCTGAGCAGAAGTGAGAATCTTTCACTGACAGAAATACCTTATTCTTGCAGCACAGGTGTGTGTTGGGAAATGTGCCTGTGAGCATACACACGCTGAGCCAGCAGTGCATTCGCAAGAAAAATGAGTTTTCAGCTCCTGTCCGCTGTTCTTGTGGCTGTATAATTCTTGAAACCAGGAAAAATGCAGCTGTTCTTTTAAGGTGAACAAATGTTTCAAAGGCTGCACTAAAAGCGATGTGAAATGTGAATGTCAGAAATCCGTAAACTGTGCTGTATCTACCACCCATACTACAAAAACATCCATCAGACAAAAGCTTTAGCATATAAATAGTCTAGGCTATTAATAACTTAACACACTAGACTGGCACAGTATTTTTTAAAGGCTGTGACGGAGTTAAAGACGCTACAGCACCAGGGGAGTTTGGCATCTGACTGTCAGACCCTTCTGAATTCTTAGCAAAGAGATTTTAAATGTTTGTGCATTAACTTATACTGGAAGTGACCTACGTAGCAAAAAACTGCTCCATAGGTATTTTTTTCTTTAACTTGAAATGGTTTTGATTTTTTTTCTCGAAGATACAAGTTGCTTTATGGATGGCAGGGAAAATGTGTGGAATATGTGGAAAATATGATGCAGAATGTGAACAGGAATATCGAATGCCCAATGGATATCTAGCTAAAGATGCAGTGAGCTTTGGACATTCTTGGATTTTGGAAGAAAAGCCTTGTACAGGAGGTATGCAAGCTCTAATAAATCTAATAGAATATTACTGCAGTTGTATAGAAAAAGTAGAATTGATTTAGAAAATTTCAAATCTGTAAACATTTTGAAAGAAGTATTTTAAAAGGGTTCGTTATTAAGTTATCTTAAGTATAAAAAGTAGTTGTCTATTTAGAAAGGAGTAAGAAACTATAAGTTAAGCAAATAAGCCAAAAAGCACAAGTCAGTTAAATAATAAGTAACCAAGCTGAAACAAAATCTTTTCTTCCATTTTGAAGTGTTTTAGAAGAAGATCAGGAAAAAATGTCAGAGGACAAATTCACATGGAATGCTTTGATTTAAGCACAAGAGCATTTTCCAGCCAGCATTTGAGCCATTAAAAAATCAGATGAGGATTAGTAATTATTTTACCTTGGCTGACCACCTCATTTTTGAACCAGTGCAACCTGTCAAGCAAAGCATTTGAGTGCGTGAGCAGTTCCAGGGACTTAATTACATGGTTGAAGTGAAAAAAAAAAAAAAGCTATATTTTAAGCGTTTCAGTAGATTAGGATCTTATGGTGTGCTTGGTGCTCTCAGCTGAGGTTATGATGCAACAGCATGCCATAGTGCTGCAAGGAGAACGGGCATGTTGCCTTTGTAAGGAAGACCTGTCCTGGTGGGAAGGACTTCCTCAGTCCCTGGAGGTGGCTTCTACATGTTTAGCTGTACATCAACTGTTATTCTGCTCTGTCTTTGTAAAGAATACTGGGCATCAAACTTGCTTCAGATGCATATGGAGTCCACGTGCATGAACACAATAATATTCACATGGCTGGTGGTGACCACGTGTTGTGTTTCCATTTCACGTATGGTGGAAATGGCTGGAATTTGAGAGAATAAAACTTATAGTCAGGAATAAATTGTGGTCCATTTAGCTTCTCACACACTTGTAGCTGCTTGTACTGGGAATCGAAAACAAGATCAACATTACTGACTGGCAGCATTGACTTCTGGTCTCTCCCTACAGCGATTTTGAGTCTGAATGACAGTAGCAGTAGCGTAATTCTTTAGTGATTACTTCTAATTGTGCAGAAATCCTCCCTTTCTTTCCACTGCTGAATATTCAAAGCTTTTGAATGTGGGTTTGCAGCTATTCTGTGAGCCAGTTTACTTTGCAAAATGTTTGTTAGAAAGTATATCAGTCTCTGTTTCCACGTGCTAATCTAGAAACAAACCAGTTGCATTTGAAATTAGCTTTCCGTAGCTCCATACCTAATTAGCTGATTTGAAAAGTTTATCAGTCAGCCATGCTGCTTTACTTGTGATCAAAACATAGTTTTCATAGAGGAAATTTGTTTGCAAATTGGCAGCATTGGCAGGTGGGTCAGTCTGGGGAGATCGGAAGGTTTTGAACATAAGCACATAATGACTGTCACCAACGACTGTGTTATAGCCTGCAAACTGCGACGCTCCTTCATGAAGCTTGAGAAGACAGTTCAGCTTGCGGGCGTCGAGTCCAAGTGCTATTCTACCGAGCCTGTGCTGCGCTGTATGAAAGGATGCTCTGCCACCAGGACTACTCCAGTCACTGTTGGTTTCCACTGTCTCCCAGCTGGTAAGTCAACAGAATGCCAGCTGAACCGGAGCTGCACGTATGTCTGCAGAGATTGTGCCTTGACTCAGTTATTCTGCTTGAAATGTATGAATAATCTAACATACCCACAGGAAGGGGTGGACGTCCCGCAGTGTTGACTGAAGACGTTTCCCTGTTTGCATTAATATGTAAAACTATCTTTAGTGAGAGATGTTTTTCTGTTTTAACTTTACTATGTTTTTCATGATACCAGCATTTAAAATCTAAACTGAACTCCATGGTGCTATGAACTAATAGGGTAAGTGCAAGATAACAGCACAGTCAACGTTATGAGTCAGCTGAAAACCTGTGTATGGCAGCCTGTGAGGATTCACCCACATCTGACCACGTGCAGCACCCTGAAACGGGGATCTTCGCCTTGCATATTTTCATATATTGCTGCCTTTGCACGTGATCCTATTTCACTGGGCTGATTTAGGCAATAGGATGGCAGGTGTGGACAGGATTCCTGCACACAAGTGCAGTGACATAGGAGGATGTCTTTTTTACAGGTATATTGTAAATTATAAGAGATTAAATAAAATAGATATAGATTATATAGATGATAGGTTTATGTCCGTTTTCCAAGTTTGTTTTTCCTTTAAGACCACAATATCCTTTCCTAAATCTATTACTAATAAAATCCTACATGGAAGTAGTAGTTTTCAACGTAGAACTGGCTTATTAATTAAGTGGGTTTCCTGGAACAACTCTGCGTGACTTAGACAAATATAAATATGTGAGCCAGCGAGGAGAAGCCAAGCCTGCTGTAATTAATGACTAGTGCATGGTAAATGCTGTACCTTGCAAAGCTGCTTCTGAAGAATACTGTTTACTTTACATTTCTTGTCCCCTGTCAGATTCAGCTACCAGCCTGACAGACAAACAGACGAAGTTCGACCAGAAGTCAGAGGATATGCAGGACACTGTTGATGCACACATAGCATGTTCTTGTGAGAACGAAGACTGCAGCACATGAAGCTGTACATTGCAGCACAGGAAAAAAAAACAAAACAAAACACTTTCACATTTTTATTGCATGGTGTAAGAAAACTCAGCTTAAGGAATAATAGAGATACTAAATTAAGTGTTTAAGGACGTGCGGAATCTTCCCAAGTAATTTAAAGTATTAAACTTTATTATTGTAGAAACTGTTATGATTGCCCCTAAATACCTGATTTCATAATAAATCCATGCATGGAAAAAAATTATGAAGGCTTACTTATTTCCCTGGTTATGGAAAGGGGAGCTCTGTGCTGCTTCTCCTCACCCCCACATTTTGTAGAATTCTTGAGCCTGTGACCCTCTGCTGCGCACCAGGCACGCGTCCGTGTCGGGCCCCACTGGGGATACGGTTGGGTACCTGTGGTACCAGGCTCCTGCTTGTTTCCCCCGGTGCCCTCTTGCCTGGTTCTGGGACCCTGTGCACCTGGAGCAGGAACCCATCAGCTCAGCGCGGCGCAGCGTGCGCTGCTCTGCAGTAACTCGTGACGGGCCAGTGCTGCTGCAGGGAACAGCCAGATCAGGGAATAAGCCCGAACCTGATGCCACTGGACCAGGCTGCCCTGAGGGAGCCACGAACATGTTATGCTCCCGATGCACCACATGCAGAAGCTACTGCGAATCGGGGCTCTTTGGGCTGGAGTCGCCCAGGTACACGACCCGCCAAAGGGCCCGCAGCAGAGCCGGACCTTTGCACTTCGGGTTGGGTGCCCCAGCCTCCGTGCCCAGCACCAGCCCTCGCTGTGGCCACCATCAGCAGGTGGGCTCTGCCCCCCGCCCACCCGCTGTTGGCCTGCCTGGGCAGGGTGAGGGACGTACTTGTCTGCCGTGACCGCTGGAGCACGAAGGATTCCAGCGGGCCGGGAAGCTGTTCCCTGCTTGCCCCTAAGGCTGCGCTTGCAGCAGTATGCACACTGAGTGAACTTGTTCCCCAGAGATTTGCCTCAGGAGACGGCGTAGACTTAACCATCGATGTCAATGAGGTTGTTGGCAGCTTAAGTCATCAGGAGTTTTGCACAAATTTCGACAGAAATGGCATTGTACTTGCTTAAGTTTTTCTGCTTTAATTCATTGGCCTTCTCTCAATCAATACACACGCATCCAGTCATTTTTACCTCTGACTGACCACGCATTCATTTTTTTGTATTGAAGTTTGTTAATGCGAAGCAGAATGTTATCCTACTGAATTGTTAAAAGTGTAGTTCTTCAGTAAATGAATTAAAAGAGAGGCAAGTTACTCAGTTCTTAAAATCAGTAGAGACCAATGAAGAAAAACGGCACTTACCTACGACCATGTGGGGTGGAGAGGTCATCACTGGCTGGTTTTTGAAAACACTTGAGAACATTCTGTAAAAATTGTGGTGTTTTGTTTTCCCAGCAGCTTTGGTACCTTCAATGGGTGCAGGTATGTGTGTTTTATGGTTTGGATGTGACTATTATAGTTTGGAAAGGTAATGTCCTCAGTACCAAAAGGAGTATGTTTGAAAGACAGTTATAAATACCCAGTTCTGTACAGTTTAAATGCTGCCATGGCGCCTTGCGCTGCTAGGTGACGTGGAGCTGGCAGCAGGCCACGTTCGGGCGCTACGCGGCGGCAGCGGCAAAGCGGTGAGCTGGTGCGTTTGCTGCTTGCCCGGAGCAGTGATGGGAAGCAAGACTTTCCGGGCAACCCCTGAGGCTGAATCCAGCAGAATCCAGGGATGAGCGCTGAGCTGGGCTCCATGAGGGCTCTGGCACGAGCTCCCAGCTCCGGTGGGGCGAGACCACGGGGTTCCTCTCTTCCCGGCCTGCCGAGGCTGGAGCACAGTTTTGGGGGGGCCTCTGGTCTTCCAGCCCCTGTGCTCAGGCGCGAGGGGCGAGATGAGCTCAGTAGGAGACCTCAGCCGCCCTGGCAGGAGACCTGCGGGTGAGTGCTGCCGAACCACCATGGCAGCTGGAGCACCTGTGGGGCTGTGGGGGGATGTGGGCTGGGGGTGCCCACCCCGCAGAGGGGCTGCAGGGAGGCCTCAGACAGCCTCTGCCCCTCTTCCCCACTGCCATTGCAGAGAGCTGAGGACAGCTCTAAGGAAATGGTCTTCAGGGCAGGTCCTTGGCACAGCAAACTTGTTCATCAACTCACAATTTTCTTAGGATTTTTTTTCCTTTCTCTTCTTAATTCAGGTTATATCCTCCGGAGAAATATGAAGCGTGAAAGGGCTGTGAGTATATGGGGGGACAGGCTGGGAGTTGGAATCGTTCTTGACATACTTGGAGAAATGATCTAGAAAATAAGAGGGTTTGGTTCTATACAGAAACCCCCAAAGGCAAAGCCCTCACCAACAGATTTCGCCTACTTCGCAGAAGCACAGAGGATCCCACCCCGTGGCAGCAGCATGGCCGGGGTGAGCGGGGATGCGGCGTCTGCTACCCAACACATGGCATGGGATGGGGGAAAGACTCTGCAAGCCCTGGGTTGGGGGTTTTGGGGAGACCCTGCCCTCGCAGCCGGGCACAGCCCATACAGCCCTCAGGGAGGTCCCTTATTTTGAGGAGTGTTGCGGTTCGTGGCGTCACTGTTGTAGTGTGGTGTTTTAGCGATGTAGTGTTATAATTTTGAGACACTGAATACAAGCATTGTTGTATTTCACCTGCCATCACAGCAGTGTTCTCCTGCTTGCGCTGCCACCGACCTTCAGTCCTTGCTGCCTGCAAGGTGGGTTTTAAAAAAAAAAAACAACCTGTGCAGCCGCATATAGTTATGCCATAATATATTAGCTTTTGAGCCTCAATTACCAGTTGCCAATAACTGTATACTCCAATCTTTTAGCTCCATTTACCATTTACCAAATCTCCAAAGACATGACACAACTCAGTAGTGAATGGCTTGGCTTTTCTATCATGGGCCATCAGTTTTACAAGGGAAGGGGTTAAAGCAAACAGGACCAGAATATAGTGCTGGTAAAAACACCATAAAGTATTTGTTGTGCTTCAAAATTATTAATTTTTTTTTATCCTACATATGCAATCTTTGATCTAGGAACAAAATCCACAGTTTGTTAGACGTTAGAAATTACATCCCAACTGCCAATTATAGAAAAAAAAAAATCAGCTAAAGAGTGAGCATTATGAAAAGCAGGCTGTCTTGGATAGGAGCCACTGGTCTGCTGATGAGAAACTGAACCCCGTCCCTCCCCACAACGAGCTGGGCAGCAGCTTCGGTTCCCCGCCTGCGGAGAGGAAGGTTGGTGGGCCAACGGCGGCCGCGCGGCTCTGGTGTGAACCCCTCAGTCC